GTTATATCCTAATAGTCTGTCTATATTTATTTATTTTGTGAAAGAGAATCAAAATGGTAAAGCAAATTTTCTCATAAATTTCATTTATTGAATGTTTATTAAAAATACCCAAAAGTCGGCATGCGGAACCGTTTTGTTTTGATGTTTGAACATCAAAACCATACAGATTGGAACATTTGGAATAATGCTACTTTACAAATTCCTGTTTGTATTTAACTGTATTTAGTGCATCTTCGCAACAGCATTTGTTCTGACGTTTTCTTCAGGTATCGACCGAATGACCAACCGCTTTTCGACATTCGAGTCACATCAATCTGAAAATTCAGACAGCTTGTTTGTAGCGTGCATACAACTCGCCGTAGCGTCATCCGCGTGCCTACCTGCATCCAGTTCGTACGTTTTTAACCTGTCTCTTGATTGGCCACCAGACACAGTGTCCACAATACACCAATCAGAATGCGTTGGGGACAGTGAACACTTTATTGCCCGTCACGCACAAAACATTTGCACAATTACTTGGACATTATAGAGGATTTTGCATTTTGCTTGTTGGAATTATTATCACACGGCGTCGCACCGAGCTGCAAACATATTGAAATTAAACTACCCCGTTAAAACGGCTACATAAAAATTACGGTAAGTTGGACATTTTTCTGTTACAAGTAAAGCTGTAACGATGGTATCTAAGAATTTTATGCATTCACAAAGATGTGTAGGCTTTTACAGATTGCGGTGACGTTAGTTGGAAACGATCACGTGAAAACTCTATATTTCACTTGTTTATCGGGACATTTTGGTCCGATAGCGTTCGAAAACCTTAAAAGCAACTGATTTCGTCGGTGTTGAGGCTAGGGATGAAAATTGTACGCAGGTCTATCGTGCCCACAAACGGTCTGTGAACCAACGCACTTTAATTATCAGCTTTCTGGTTAATAAAAGACTGTGGAGGCATTATACAATTTTAGAAACTAGAAAACCATCTGCGAGTAGCATTCAAGTTACCATTCTGACGCCTTCCAACGAGAGTTGCTAGGCAAAAAAGGCTCGAATATTTTTTGGTTGGTCATCAAATACCGAGATTTGAGATCGTGAAATACAAATCTTGATTTAATCAAGACAATTTTGAGAAATGATGTTTTAGTGCTGTGTACTTATTTTCCATCTCATCGGTTCCCTCATAATCTTCTTGCACGGCACTATTCGTCCGCAGCGGTCCAACAGTGGTCCCTTTGAGCGGATTCGCTGCTAACGGTTGTATTGTTATTCACTCTCTTCTGCTAGACTTGAATTAGATTGTGAACCGAGTGACCCTGATGGGTAGGAATTTCCGAAGATTCAGTTTTTATTGCAAGTACTTTCGAAAACGTTTATAGGAACTGTACTTTCACCAGTATTCCTAAATAGGTTGCTTTTATTGCGTTTTGAAATCAACTCATATTCTGACGCATCGTGGTGGGACATAAATCTGTTCTCGGTGAACCGATGTCTCCCAAGTTGCTCTATCAAAACCTTATTCACATTGCATGTGAAGCCGAATTCTGGAACTAAAGATAGATAAAGAAACTGGTATAAGTTTCTTCTAAAACCAGCTTAAAGTCAAACGTTGCAGATAATGCTTTGATTGACATCTACAGTTTCTGAAAACAATTATCACCTAGTGAATAAGGGCACAGTTATTCAGTTTGAACGTAATTTGTTCAACCAGTTTCCGTGTTTTGTGCACCACATTCGTTGGATATAACTAATACAAATGACTTAGTTCGAGGAATTAAAGCATTAGACGATATTGAAAAATTCATTCACTACGTTACCCAACAAAACATGCAAATTAAGTTTAACGATTGCCCTTTGAAAGATGTTCTTTCTAGCACTCAAGATCAACGATGATTTTTGTGTTCTCTCAGTAGACCGGACTGCTGAATGTGAGATTCGACTAGATAGATAGCTTCAATCACATACTCCCACCAGTTAATTTGACTAATTTGTCTGAGGAGTATAACAATAAGATAAGAGTAACAGATCGTTGAAACGAGGGTCTTCATGACTTGGTTCTTATGTGTCAGATTTTATCACATAAAATGATTATAATTTCCTCAAAATCCATGCAGATGAAATGCAATTAACACTGTAGAGGTTCTGAAATTCCTTTTGATACACACTAAGTTTTTGAGGATAGATTACCCATCAATATTTCGCAAAACCATTTACGTTCTCATCTTGTGGAAGGGATGAGGAAACTGCGGGTTCAGCAGACGGCCTTTTACAGTCTCCGTAGTAGAAAAATAGCTGGCATCTTCAACGCAACCGTCTTTGCATTATCATCAAGACCTTGCTTAGTGTTTTAGTAAAAAGGGATGAATACACTCACAAAATCAAGATGCGTTTTACTGTCAGGAGAGGATTTTACTTTTGGTAAAATTTTATTCTTGGGTTTTTAAAATTGTTTGGGATTTTCATCAAAATACCGCCGATACGACAGTGGTATAGAAACTATCAATTTGAGCACTGTAGGTTTTCATTTTAAGTGCAATCGCTAACGCACATAAAGGAGTTCTGGAATGTTCAGTCCAAAGAGGAAACCTTCGTCACTTGGATATATGTCTTACTGTGAACATAAGGCATGCGGGACGAACCTAACTCAGTAACTTCACTCAAATCCTACAGAATACACACTTTGCTCAGAACTGTTCTCCCTGTCAAGTGCTGCCAAAAACTCGAAGACATGATGGAAGATGCGGAGGCAGAACGGGCGATAGGTTTGCTTCACGGGGCGGAAGAAGGGCAACCAAAGGAGAAAAAGTCGAGCGGCCGTAAGATTACCATTGCCGAAGACAGACCGTCAGAACTTACAAAGATGCAAAAGGTAAGTTACTTTCACCACATTTTCCTCTTGACGGAAATTACCATAGTTTTTAATCTTTGGGGATATTTATTGTTTTCTAATTCAAAAATGCATTTCCAGCTCGTACTTGAAGAATGTAAGTGAAATACACACTTGCAGAATGGAACCAATGTAATACAATCAAATGGAATACCTTGGGAGGAGTCTCTGTCCTTCCGGGCTGTACACCGTCCCATTGAGGCTCCTAGAGCGCCGATACCCGATTGAGCACGCTTCTGAAGTAGCTTGCTATGAGTATAGCGGCTGGTGCGTATCTTGTTTTCCTGCAGTCATTGATGTCGGCTGGGGAAATGATGAAGGCCAAATAGACGGAATATATCCAGAGGCAAACAACAGTTTGTTGAATTGAAAAAGAAGAGTAGTTTTTTCAATTTTTTGCCATTTAAAGTTTGCATAATTTACGTTCGTAAGTTTATTCGAAATGTTAGTTGATATAGATCAATGAGCAAATCGAATCGATGGTAACGTAACGCTGAAACGTTATTTGTGTAAAAGAAAATTAAGAAAAGTAAAGTGCAAAACGTGGGCATGCACTTGCTTCTACTTTATTGTAATGTGTACACAGTTCTTTTTTGTCGAAAAATTATTCCGTTTCCTTTCACATCGTTCCATTTGACAATTCTACTTTGTAAAATAAGAACTAACAGGGTCAAAGGATGGCGGATTGATATGCATGGTAAATGACCTAAGCTATCTTGATGTCTGCAACGGATTGATCAAGCAAACATACGATAAAAGAATGATGGAACAATCTTGCTTATCCCAGTAACTGAATAACTGCATGCACACACTACCACAGCAGCATCATAAGAATGTTACATGGGTGCATACTTTTGCGTATAGTATATGTTGATAACGTTTTATTGTTCATTTATGACTACCTAATTTCGAAACGATAAGCATTATATGCATAATTCTTACCACTTTTCAACAATTGCTTGATACATATGAAGGTCCTAATTGAATAAGTAGAAGGTAGGTAGCTCATATTTAAGCCCAGCTCTTCAGGTAAGTTTGAGCTCAGTGCAATCATTCCAGAGAAGAGTTGATCAATTTGTTCTTATAGATCGACGAAACATAAAACTGGAATTAGTACATTTTTTCCCTTTCACTACCGATAATATATTTCAAAAGTAGGTGTTTCAAACGATTTCTCATGGTATCTTCAAATCCACCATTACCGTTGTCACAAGTGTAACATCTCGGTAATTACCTCTGTATACGTTGTTGAGTTCCACGTTTGAAAAACCATCATTCTGTCCCACAGCGGAATTTTGTACGGTTTCACATGCTAATCTCAATCACACCAACTATGATGATACTGCTCACATGTAAACGTCCAAGCGTACCTTGTTGTTTTACCATTTATCTATTACAACCACATTTATTTAATGATCTAACCAACACAGTATGCATATCGTATGTTCAGTATGCTGTGTGAAAGATTCTTTAACGAAGATCGATTTGGAAAGACGTGAACTAGCTTTGTTTAGATACGTTGATCCCCAATTTATGTTCAATGATTCATCAACACACAAGTGTCGGAAAACATCTATATACCGGGTAATGGAGACTAGCAAACGATAACATGTACAGAAGAAACAAGAAAAGTGATCTGATCTGCTGCCTGGTGTCCAAGTGCATAGTATGTTTACATTCTGGCTTTGGGGTACGAGGTTCGTTCTGCAGTCTGGGTGATGGGTTCGCACATTACCGAAAAGACACGCTCAATCAGGTCAAAATAATTGTGCAGTACCGCTTCCCAACATTGGTGCGCGCTTTATTTTCGACTACACAAAACGAAATGTATTGCAAAAATGATAAATTGGTTGAACTGTTTATGTTCATTTTGATGCATGTTTCAAGTTCGAGATAAAGAACACTACTTGAAGATAAACTGCAGTCTCCAACAAATGGACAACATGCAACGGAATGTGAAACAGATTAAAGTAACAGGTAATCCATAGAGGTTATTTTGCTAGCTGAACTAATCGGAGTGCTAAGAGCACATTATTTGGTTATCAACGAACTTTATTGCGCGTGCGTCTTCCGGTTTTTGCACGTTGAAAACTCTCAGGTGAGACAATGGTTCCGGAATATCGACAATATCTTTGTCACCTTGACGGTCGTGGCCGTGATCCTTGGCATGACAATCGGCTTGTTGGTCAAAATCAATGTGGATCCATCCCCCAGAACAATTTATTTAATCTCGTTTCCCGGGGAGTTGTTGATGAATATGCTAAAGATGTTGATCATTCCACTGATTGTTTCCAGTCTGGTTGCTGGTGAGTTTTCCCTTTTTACGGTTTAACCGTCAGTTTTTGTCCCACAACTTATGACCAGTGAAGGATAGGAATTGGAGGAGTACCCCTCCGAAGTGGATTTCCAACGTTTCACAATTATATTCGAACAAGGTATCACTGTTAAAACGCATCTAACAGCATCGGGTGTTTTCCGAATTTAACTAGTTCTATGACAAGTGAGTGTAAGATTAGTTGATGTTGACGAACATTGGCAGCAATGGAATGCAGGATACCATAACAGCGTATGCAAATAAAAGGGGAACGGTTACAGAAACTGCATTACAACAAAACATATCGCCTTTTTAGTTTGATGCGCATAAGCATTAGCTGCTGATTGACACAGATATGCGGTACGTCATACCTATATGCTCATCGAATAAATATAATAAGGAAAAAGGAATGATAAATGAAGTTAGTGGAATTTTGAATCCTAAACTTGATGCAACTGTTATTCCAGAACTTCAATGATTTATATTTCATTTTATACGAAGTTATCATTACTTTCAGTCATCGTTCGTGGATAGCGGTATCAGACAGGCTCAAAACTGTTAAATTCTATCTTTCCTTGCAAAACCTAAATGGAAGATTTGAAGTTCTTTTGAATTGCTGTGCACGTGTTAACTTAATTATTTACTATTTAGTAAGTACTTTTCAACGACAAAACTATCATGAATACATTTGCTTGTTATTTCTAGTTAAAATAAGCTTTGCTTTGCGTGAAACTCTAATAAAATTCAAATGCATTCGCCTAAAATAAAATTGTCACTGAGCATTGTATGGGACTACCTCCCAGTGATGGAATGATTCTCAGAAAATGAACCCCATGTTCAGACAGACAGAAAGTTCTTTTTAATCTACGTGTAATGAGGCACAAATAAAAAAAACAATATGTACGGTAAACCTCAACCAATGAACAATCCGGCTCAGAAACCAGGCAAAATGGGAGAGAATGCAACGGGATACCGAGTCAGGCTACACGCTAGGCACTGTCACACCAGAGAATAAGGAACAATGAAGAGAGCAATACATTTGAAGAGTCAGACCGATTAATCAGCGTCAATCCGTCCATATGCATGGTTGTTTATCGGTAACACGTGTACGGATGCGTCTTATGGGGACACGGAATACACAATATGGATTAGCACAACGTGAAATAGCTCGAAAGAGAGAGCTCAAAGAGAATCGGACAGGTTTTTATAAACGTGAAGATCGATGCGGAATGAATAATAATCACTAACATTGAAGGGGGCACAGGTCATTTACACAGATGTGAGACATTTGCTGGTACCAATATATTACCAAATCGTGCCATGCAAAACTATAGACCACACGTTTTCCCAAGGGGTACGAGTGCAACGAATAGGATAAGAGTAATGCCCGAATGCTGAAAGTTGTGGAGATATGGGTTACATCATAGCATGCTGTATATTATTCAGTAACGCAAATACTGAAAGCGGGGAGAGAACAGACTTCTTCGTGTACCTGATGTGTATTAAATGTATCGAGGTCAAGTGGTTTGCTAAGGCAATGGCCTAAGAGCGATGATTAGACAGGCGATCTAAACGGCATGCAGTCAATGCAACGCGGTATGGAGATCCAACGGACGGAGGGCAATAGTACAAAACTGAGTAAATGTTAACTGACTGGCGGGATGAATTTCTAAAAAAACAAACATATAGGTCTTTGCATGCATAGTACTCCAGCTCTACTAATTACCATGGACTGCAGCAAACGTCCTTAGGACTATTAAGAGGAATCATTTTGTGATTGAACAAATTGAACGAATAAAGGTCATGATGATTTATTCGCCTATGGGGCTATTCAGTACACAAGTGAAATCATTTTGGTTCTAATATGAAGAATACATTTTAAGCATAGACTGATTGGAATTTTAATCAATATCACTTTCATCAAATCATGTATCCTTGATGCAGGTGTTTCGCTGTCCGAAAATGATTAGTCTATTTTAAACTTCATAACTGGATTTTTATCAGATTCCTGCTTCTCATCATCCTGGTCCTTATCGTTCTGCAGGTCTTAGGCGTTTCGATTGCTGTCTTAGTAATCATTTATCATGATCTTAAGTCAGAAAGCTGACCTTTTACATTTCACGCCTTCGGCATCTGAGAGTATCATTGTTTATTATTTATAGAAATATTTTCTCCTGCGTTTTATGCCGTTGGATCCACTACTCGTTCGTTATCTTTCCCGGTGTATTGTCCAAGGATTTCATATTAATTACACGCTCTCTGAAAAGCATCTTTAGATATGGAGCTGTATCTTATGAGGATCTGCTTGACTCCATTGTCAACCAGCACAGTAAGGCGTATGATTGTTTGTGTGACTCTATCTTGTCCGATGAGTCACATCCTTTACAAGCAGTCCTACCTAGCTATATTTCAACTTCTGTCACCCACATTAAATTTAAACTGTTATATACTCGTACCACGGCTTTTCACAACTCCGTTGTACTTTACCTTTCACTTTGTTGGTTTCCAGGGAGCGTATATAATAAATACTTATACACAATCTAATGTAAATTTTTACGTTGAAATTTTCTTCATTTTGTTACGAATTCTCGGTGTCCTATTCATTATCATTTTAGTAACTATTTGACATATCTTCAAACTCCTTTTAATAGCGCTCATGCCAAAGCAAAGTGATAACATTCTTTTCACCCAAAGTTCTGTCCACATTGGATGAATGAAGTGCACTCCAGATTTGACTTGTTATGTATACACAAACAGAGTTTTATCAAATTTACATTTTTTCATCTTATTTGTATCGAATGTGGAAATGGGTGCACCCAAAAGAGTAAACTAGGTCTCCTCTATCATCATTTACTAATGGGCTCTGAGTTCAGACATATATACAAGGTATTTCCAAATTGAGAGTGATTGTGGACGCATGATTCAGTAGGTAGTTCTCTACTCAATGTCAACCGGAATGCTCCCTGATTCTACTGCGGTGGAATTTCAGTACATACCGAGAAGCAGCTTTGTTCATCCCCACTGATCGATTTTCTCATTTGTCCCCGTTTTCCATGTGACACACATATGAGTAGATGCGCGATTCATTTTCCTCTCGCATGTAGTGGTGGTGGGGTTGGTAGTGATTCTCACGGTGGTAGGGCGACAGAACGCTTTCCATCAGGATTGTCCTCCGTTGGGTCATCCCGGTTCCGGTTGAATGTATTCCTGTCACGCCCAAGGATGTAGCGATACAAACAAATGCCCGACCCAACTTAGTCATTTTCCAATCAATGAAGAAACTATTAGTTCTTCTTTCCTGGAAACGTAAGTTTCTTATTGAAGTACGGGTAAGTAAGGCCATCCCAAACTGTGGATCAAAGTTAGTCTTTGTGACTTTCAGCATCATCAAGTTAATTGGCATTTGTATTGATGAATACTATCGCGAGTGTGTGCAGAATGCATAATATGTATGAATATTTATCTAGAGGTGTACATGCAGACGGTAAAAAGATGAGCTAGTTAGATAAAAGAAGCGCAAAGGAGGAATTTGGATTATGAATTGAATTTGACTCGTTTAAAGTCTTTGAAAGCAAATGAGCAATGTCTTGCGGAATTACAGACAAACTATATTTGAGCTTTCGGGAGTGCAGCTATCCCTGATGTTACTTACAGATGCACATTCGCATAAAAATTCACAAGTAGAATGATCGTCATCGCCCATCATGTGTACACAAAACAAAATCAAAACGCCACATCCGAGTTACGATTGGCTAAATCCTAACCGAACGGAAGATTCTATGGGAGACCTATGGAGGTTACATAAAGATAGGGCACCAAATGAAGTTTGCCGCTAGAGTGCATAAAAGCAAGTTTATCTCCGAACATGTGAGCACACATCTCGAACGGAACACGCCAAACGAACGGAGTCTAACCTATTGANGAACCCAGAATGTTTTTCGTAAAATGGTGAAACCAAGGTATTCGGGCGGTGGTGGCCCGGTGGTAACGTTACCAAATTATCAATTTGAGATGTTTGTTCGAGTCCCAGCACCATCTAACTTCTCCTATTGTGTGTCAAATGGCAATCCTTTGATTTGCCGGTTTCCTTATCTTGAAAACGGTATCTTTGTACATTCAATAAAAGGAAGTGAACCCCAAAACAAAAGAAAAAAACAAAATTCTGTCGGATCAAACGTGCATAACCATAAACAGCAAAACGTTATCTCAAGGAAGATTGCGAATGAGTCATCCATATATTTAACCAATTACAAAAGCGAAAGGATAATGAAGAATCAGAAATTCGAAATCTTTATCAAACGTGGTTCACTGGACAACTAGCCGTATAATTAGCTGGAAGGATATGATATTTCACCACTGGTTTATGCAAAGGGGGTCCACGATGGTGTGGTAAAAAAATGGTCAGACAAAATAATCCCTCAAGTGTTCCTTGTTCGTTTCGTGGTTTGAACTGCTATCCAATTAGAGAGAAGATCTAATTTTAACTGCTCACATTTGACTAATGTGGCTACTGGTTGAATTTCTATGTTTCAATGGGAGGGTTTATGAAATAAAATCATGGGGTGTTATGCTGTCGTTTGACTAGTAGCTTCAATTCACGTAATAGTTTACTCCACCTTCATTTGAACGGTTCAAAATGATCTGATATCTGCTTTTTCCATTGCAATTGCCCTGATACCAATAGGTTTGGCTGGCTTGGATCCAAAGTCGAGCGGAAAAATCGGAATGTACGCTCTGATCTACTACGTGGTTACAACGGCCCTGGCGGTGATGTTGGGAATCAGCCTCGTGTTGAGTATTCGTCCGGGTAATGCAAACATCAAACAAGCAATGGGTGAGGGAACAATAGCGGAAAGACGCCCCGAAACACTGGACTCGCTACTGGATTTAATGAGGTAGTCAACACAATACAATCTTTTACTGCTAATTGCATAGTTTGCTTTCTTCAAAAAGCTGGTCGTGTACCATTCTCTAAGCTGACATTAGAGGACACAACTCGTTCGGTTACGGATGAAAGGCGCCGGGACTAAGATATTCTGTCATGTGTCATGATTTATTAAATGGGCCGGTACCTTTCATTTTTCATTTAAAAGCCAAAGCATTCAAACAGAAGTGAAAAAAGAGGACCAAATATGAAATAGGCCATAAAAAACCAAATTGAGATCAATTAGCGTGCATGAGGCGTACCATGTTCAGTTATTGGGTTAACTAACTGAGAAGTTGCTGGTACTCCAGGTAGCAGATTACTTGCGATGGGCTGTATACCACAGCTTGCTTTTGTCTTCTCCGTTGTTCAGTTTGTATGTTCTTGAGTTTGTTTTCATTCTCAGACTGGGATAAGTTCGCATATCAAACCATTCTTCAAGTCTTCTTATTTGAACAGATTGTTCAATTTAGAGGGGCCAGTAATTTTTCGAGTTGATGATACTTTACATTAACGAAATTCCATCATTTCATTAAACCTATCAGGCAGTCAGGGTAATTAGTATCTGTTGAATCAGTTATTCACAGTTGAAGAACGCAAAGTTATCAATCTTTAGGAGGCTGCACTTTTGACATAGGCTGTTGCAGAGATTTGCATTGTCTTGCTGCTATGGAGCACATCCTCTTATCTGCAGCCCCCTTCCAATAAAAACGGTTTTCATTTTTGGATACGTTTCACAGGAATCTGTTTCCGGAAAATATTGTGCAAGCCTGCTTGCAACAGCAGCAAAGTGAATTTGTTACCGTGCACAAACGCCCGAAATATGTCAAATTGGATAATGCGAACCAAAGTGGGTTAGAGCAAACCATGACGATGTTGTCAACGCTCGCCCCTGACTTGCTCGAAAGCGCCATGAATGGGACCACGGGAGCCCCAGTCAAAATGCCCAAACTGGAATCGTACGAAGCTGTCCGTCCAAAATACGTGGACAGTACAAATGTACTTGGTGAGCCACTAATTTTTTTTAATCAGACTCGTCTAACAGGTATGAAGTTCAACGAAATATCAATCACCCTTACTTAACGATCAAATGACATAAAGCAAGTAAGAAGCAACTTGTTTCTGCATTGGAGTGAACCAATTCAGAATGGTTTCACACAACATAAAGCCTAAGCTAATAATCATGAGTAGCAGTGTATGGATCACTTAATAAAACAACATATTTACAGTCCTTATGAACCCAAGTGATGTGCACTAATGTGTTTCAGGATATCCTGTGTTGTGTGCTTTTACCATGAAGCTCGCTCGACAACCGCCAAGTTGTCTTTATTAAGAAAAGGGCTAACAGCACTGCTCCCTAATGTCACCTCACAGAACGTCGATCTGCACAAAACTTTATATATGGCTGATGACCTTAGCGCCGATAGGATTGAGTGGCAATATATTTTCTTCAAGTCTGCAAGGGGACACAACTGTTCTGCTTCTTCCTACTGTTAACTATCAGTTTCACCAACTCAGATGGATTAATCCGTTTACTATAATCAAAAACAGGAAGATTTAAATCCATACCAAATTATATATTTCAATTTCAATTTCCGTGAAATAGTTGAACTTAGATTAAACAATATCGTCTAAATTCAATGCTGAACTCCATTGCGGAACCATATGCCCTCCCTTTGAAATTTAAATGCTCGATTTCCGTTGTCCTATAGTTAAAGATACTTCAGTATAGCCAAACACAATTGCCGGCTTTTAGCAATAGTACGTTTTTATCACAGCAACAATCTACTTCAAATTCAGGTAGATAATGAACCACTGCCTCCATACTTTACCTTGAATCGATTTACAAGGTTTGCACCAATTGGTTTCTCGCAATAAAAGCACGACTGTTGAATAAATTGTTCATTCGGGTCGCGGCTATAATTGCACAAAATACGTTATGATCACATTACACAGGAGCAGTTTTATTTCTAGATAAGCTGATTATTATTATGTATATTCCATGAGTTGTTTCCGGTTTTGTTGTAAATGGGTGTTAGAGAGAAGGGAGATTTCACTTCGTGGTTGAAGATTCCGTACACACCCTTTCGCACTATCCTTATCCCTGTGTTCATTCGGATCCAAGGAAATCACCACTGGAAATTTCAAAATAGGAGGGAGAAACGATATCATACAAATTACTTAATAAATTCATACCATGATTAGGTTGGTTTGATTTTTCCTTTGGAAATGAAAACCAAGGTACTTAAATAAGCAAGCAACATGAATGACCGAATTGCATGGCAAACTATTTTTCAGTGTTGGATAGTGCTGATACACTGCGGCCTCCATGTGCATTCCGCTTTGAGGCTCAAGAGAATAGATTCCTGTGAAATATTGTTGTGCAAAATGAAGCAGTGAAGTATGTAATGGCTATATCTAACGTTGCTCCTAACACACGGTCCTTTTTTCTCGGAAGACGATCATTAAGAATAAAATAATGTCCCTGAATAGAAAGGGGCGAGGGAAAGGTTTCATTCTTTATGTCACAATATTGTCCATATTCTCATCGGTTATTGTTTTCAACTGACCAAAAGTGATGTTACTGTTGGATGGTTCCACGCGATAGGAAGTTTGTTTGTTTACGTTTTGTTGCCATTCTCGTAAGCATCGTCAGTTAAATATTTTCCTAATTAGAGGGTCATTCAACAGCAACATCCTTTATCCCGATTCACAAATACCAAACATTAAAGCTGACCCGTTGCTGATTCTAATTTTCTCTTTTTACAAATACTTCCCTGGAAACAAGCGCTTCTACTCACACCAGATCCATGGATGGAACGGATCTCACTGAAAAAAGTGGGTTTCGTGCTCATGATTATTGAGAAAATTAGCTTATTCGAATCACATCCGAGTTAAATACGATGCATTATCCCATCGCCTTATAATGGCTTTTAACGTGAGATTAACCGATTAACCGACTTGAAAAAGGCCTTCCAAGAGGGTCAAAACGTTGTCACCCACTCCACTGTGTTTTGGTTTTCATTCATTGTGACTAAGACAAGCTAATTTTCTCAAGCGCTTCTACTGATAAGACAACAAAAATACATAAGAACTTTAAACGCAAGCCAATTAGGCATAACATACTCCTAAAGAAGAACAGAAATATTTAAATCAATGCATAGGCCGAATTAAAACCTTGCATAAATGATTGCAAGTAAAAATACTCTTGGTTTAAAGAAAATCAACGGTCTGTACCGATGTATAAACAATATTTTTTTACGATTACAACAGATTCAAATTGAGTGATCCTTTTGTCAGTTGTGAAAACAAATAGCCATGCAACTTCGCTTGCAAGTAGCACGTGATTTTACCGAAAGCTAAAATATATGCTGTTTTCGTGGTTATATTTCCTATAACTTACCGCCGCATCGATATGAATCCACAGCATTTGGCTTCCCTTTAAAAACAAAGTCAACGGAGGACTGTCCTAGGTAAGTTTAGTTTACACAGAATTCTGACCAGTGAGGTTATGCCGCACTGGTCCAATTTTTGTACAAGATGACACTATTTTCCCACGGTTTTAGAACCTTTCCTCTGACATGCAGACGTCCACGTGATTACATGTTACAAATAAAAATTCTAGCAGGTGAAGTGTTTCAAAATACCAGAATTTTAAGTATCCTCTCATGTTATCTTGTTATTCTTTTCTAACGCTTTGGTTTTACAATTACCAACTATGCTGATTGCTTAATGAGGTAGCCTCAAGATTATGAGTGTACAATTCAATCAGTGGCACCAAAATCGTCCTACAAATGGCGCCATTATTTTTATAATGGTACATTCCATTTGCCTTACTTATATTTGAGTAATTTCTGTCTTCCACGTTACCAACAAAAGATAGAGCATAGCAATACAATCCGGAGGTAATGATTGAATACTTACACAATGAACAAAATATCACGAACCAAAAACGCATCACTCCATGGTGATTAGTGACTGAATGCGGAAAACGTTTTACTCCTTTTAAACTCATTCAAACATGACCTAGATAGCTGGCATCTAATGGCAGGATTATTGTTTTTCCTCGCCGTAGGCCACGGTTTGCCTTNAACTGCCAGTCGACCAAACACCTGAATATGAATTTCTTGTTGGTTCTCATATCTTCAGTTAATCACTTCAGAAAACGATGTCAAAAAGCATTCGATAAACTGTTGCCTAATAAGGTATCCCGTGTGAACCAACGTCGTGATGTTTTTCATTTTGTGTCAACATTTTAGCCTTGGCAAAACGTTTTTCGGGGATCAAACATGTGCGTAGTCTAACCTCGACTTTAGACACACTGACATAAAATCCGCTATCATCATCTGTTAATACGTATCCGCTAAGTAACTTAGTAAAGTCAGCCAGCAAACTAATTCCGTTATCGCACTTCTCATGCGTTTCGGGTTCTAAATCTTAACACCGACATTCAACTGTTCCTCCTCTTTGCCAGTTTCTCTTCATTACGGTATCTGCACAGTACTGTTCATCAATTGCCGCCATTGTGAAGTAATTATTTGCATGTGGCAGCAAAAATAATACGAACGAAGCAAATAAATGACATTCATTTCCGAGGTGTAATCACAATGTGTCACAGTTTTGACAAAATATGATTGTTCAAATAAAAACAAGTGCATCTTAATTGTATATGACATTTTGTTAACCAAGCGAGTGAGTGCCTTGGTATCCCTGACGGCTGCGCTCCGAATCACACTATCAAAGTCGGGTAATTGAAGCCATAGACCGCCCTGTGACAGAACAGAAAGAATACGATGAGTGATGCATAATTCATGCTTTGAAGTCATACAAATGAAGGAGCTTCAGTAGAAGACCCGTGCCACTTTATAGAAAATAATCCCAATGCGTAATAAAGGAAGTTAGAAATGCATTGTAAAGAAAAAAAACAAGGGAAATTCATTCAAAAAATTGGCATAATAAGCAGGCTTCTGCTTTGGTCTTATTCATAGGCATTCCATCTCGAATCTATCGATAAACATTATTTTGCATAGGATTAATCTTTTCAAGGCAAATCACCTATGTTGTATTGTAACGTGAGAATAATCGCACATGTTGAAAGTGAATAATAATTTGAATTTCCCCTTCGGGGAAAACGTTGTTTGAGTTTTGCTTGGTTTTCTGCTTTCCCTACAATGCATCTCTCAAATACTCAATGGAAGTTTTCTGTCTGCTAACTGTTCCTCGTAGAGATTTAGTAAACTCCTGGGGATGTTTGAAATGCCTCGTTTGTTATTCAAAAAATCCGTTCAAAAATGCAAGGTTACTTTGTACACTTGGAAGTCGGAGATTTTCGCGTTAAGTTGCAGTTAGTGATATCATAAGCAGAAACAACTACAAACTTCACTGGTTACAGTTTGACAGCAATTCAATAGGGGTTCTTCCAATCAGATGCACTAATTTGCAGTATAACTTCTGTTCAAACTGCACATGTAATTTTGTTTACCTATATCATTTGATCATTATTGGACATTCACCGTTTGNNNCCAAGCCGTTACGGAAGATAGGCATGGTTTAATTGTTTCCACTCATCTGCATGAACAACGCGAAGTTTACTCTTTGACTGAACTCTGTTGTAATATTTCCGCTTAGGTGTTGTCAATCGGTTGTAAACCTTTGATCATATATATATATATATATTAATGTCTCTAAACACGCTCCACTTATCGATATCCACACTCTCAAATTAACATCTACGAAAATTACACTCTAACCAAAAGGATCAGGTCCCAAGCGTCAGACGTCAGACGATTTGTATATCAAAGAAACTTAAGCGACATTTTTTACTTTGCATATTACGTAAAACCGCATATTTTATGCCACGTGTCTGCCGGTATACATTTTTAACTGAAATGTAAGCATGTACGTATACACAAGTTGCACACATGCAAGTGCACATACCATGGCTGGAACAATTATCGGATATGTACTGTTTGAAAATGGTGCACAAAGGTCCCAATGGTTTATGTTTTTCGCAAACAATGCACGCTACCGCGGAGCTCTCCGATCCGTGATCGAACACTTTAGTTTGCCGTAAACTGTCCTTCCCGCAAAATATTCGCAGGTCTGGTCTCCTTCTCCATCATGTTTGGTCTCGTCCTCG